AGTGAGGTGAAGAAAATTAATGGCCTATTTGTTTTCTATGCTCACTCTTGGGAATTGAGGATCCCCTTGATGCCCAGTTACTGGTTTCCACCGGTCGGTCGATCTCCTACTTTGTAAAAATGTTTTTACTTGTTTCATTTCTACACTAGCTGCACAAATATAAGCTGACTACATATAAGCAGCTTACATTCTCCATAAAGGCAATATCCTGCTTTAAAACGTTTTCCTTTGAATTTCCCTGCGTCTGACAGGATCGTGTGTGTGGGGCTGGAGCTGAGATAATATTGTTGTCTGATGAGTTGGAAAAGGAGAGAACTTGGGGGTCACACAGGGAACCAGGCCAAGAAGGAATCCTCGTTGTCCCCAAGTCGTGTGGAGTCCCAGCGTTTCCCCCTTTCTAATGCTCGTCCCACTACAACCTCTTGTGCCCCATTCACTGCCCCCATGTGTACGTTCTTACGGAAATCAGGATCATAGAATGTTAGAACTAAAGGGAACCTCAGAACCTTACTTGGATTAGTTTAAAAACGTACTTTTTTTTTTCAATTGTGGAGTATATCTGTCCCATGAAATCTGTATCAGAAGCCCCGTAAGGGAAGGGGAAAGTCAAGGAACATATAGCCAGGACTCATGGACAAAACCAACGGGGAAGAGCTGAGGGAGGGATGGAGGGAGGGGCAAGGGAAAGTGGTGGGGGGGAGGCAGAGACAAATGTATTTAAAAAGTAAATAAATAAAAGAGAAAAAAAGGAAGAGAGAAAAAGAGGGAGGAAGGAAGGAAGGCAGGAAGGAGGGTGGGGGGAAGGAAGGATGAACAGAAAAGGAAGAAAGTGGGGATGTTTAGGGCTCTCAAAATTTTTTGAGGAAATAAACAGGATAAATAGGCGAGCAGGTCACAGCGCAGAAAGCTAAGCGGGGCCGATTTTCTGGAGGCATTGGCACAAGGGCTGTTAGTTTTCTAGTTCCCAGCGAATAAGTTCTCTTCTAGGAATTCCCTCGCCCCCTCTCTCTGTCTTGATGATTTTCTATCTTCTGATTGCCATTCGGCTACATTAGTCAATAAATTGAATAGTAATCCCTACCCACATGCCAAGGTTCCTGCTGCAGGAAAACAAACCCACAACTTTGACATTGGCTTAAAGCTCATCTTATAAATCAGTTTAAAAAGTTTAGAATAACATAGAGATTCGGGTATAAGAAAATGTCTAAGACAATGGGCATTGGAACAAAATCGTTCTCTGCTTCTCTTTATGTAGTGGGGGGTTTGGGAGGAAAGGTGTAGCTCCATATTGTTATGAGGGCCCCATAGACACCCAATTGGAAAGAGCAAAGAAAATATCAATATAGTAAGTTAAATATTTAATGTAGTTGAAAACATAGAGCGTATTTGTTTAAAAATATATATGCCATGCCTTCCTTTTTTTTCCCTCCTCTTTAATCAATCAATACTAATTTGACCCTGGCTTCCAAAATGGCAGTTGGAATAGTGCCACCGTGGGAGGGGCAGAGTTCATATATTTCCATTCCTGACAGGGTGTGGATGGAAACTTACCTGGCCAGCTGTTAGCAGCACCTCTGAAGGCAAGAAGGTAAAAGCTAGCATTGCCTGCTATCATTCTTAACAATGAACACTGCATTGGAAAATTATTTTAAATAGTAGAAACCCAAAGTAGACTTGATTGAAAGCAAAAGATATGCTGTGTCTGTTTAGTCAAATGTCTTTTGAAAATGAGCAATTTGTTTTATGATGTTTTGAATTTTTTGTAAATGTGGCAATTTTTTTTTTGTAAATGTGACAGTGGTCTCTGTCACCTCCTTCACCCCCTAATACCTGGTCAGATGTCAGGTGTGTCTGATTGATTTCTTAAAAAGGTGAATGTTTGAAAAATTTTAAAAGATCTTTACATACTTGGCAGATTGTATGTTTTTACTGATTTCTGAAATGTAAAATGGTATAATATTTAGACTATCTGTATTTTAGTTAATTCAAGTTTACATTTCTCTTTGGCAACATGAGATGGAAACGTTTTGCTTGCCTCTTTCACCAGCATGTCTTTGTTTTTTAGATATTGTTTATCATTTAGTTAGTTACAACCAGTTTTGGACATTGATTCCAGCAGAATAGCATCTACTTGTGTGAAGTCAAAATGTTATTCTCAGCTTATTCATAGCTTTGTAAAAATTATGGAAATTATAAGGCATGAAACATTTTTGGGATATAATTTTTTCCCTACTACACTGAAGAGAATAATTACCCTTAGAATAGTTTGAGACGTTAGAAAATCTATCTAGTCTAAGCTTTTACATTGTCACAATAAAGGAAACTATATTTAGTAACTAAATTATTTCTAATAGAGTAGAAAATTAATCCAAAGTTGATTCTATTGTGTAACATCTCTCTTGATTATGGCTGTCTGCAGAATGTATAAAGTTAATACAAAATAGGAATTAACACCTACTATTTCAAATATTAGAATTATTTACAACAAAAAAGGGGCAGATGATAGCAAATAAATCCATAAATACCTATTTATGCTCTTGCGTGCTACTGTTTATATTTACTAATGGGATACAAAGAGGAATAAAAACATGGAACTTACTCTCAAAAGAATTATATTTTGGAAGGAAAGGTAGAAATATCAAAACAATCACCTTATAGACAGAGTGATCAGGGAAATAGGAATATGAACATTTATTTTTCATATATGGACAAATGAACACATATACGAATATATATGCTCTGGCTGCAAGATGAGAAGGCCCATGAAAAAATAAAGGCAATTGATTTGTCAATATTATGAGAGCAAAATTCAAATTTATTATACAGGTGGCAGACCTCATTCCTTATACTCAGTCATCTGTACAATAAATTTACATTTGACAATCAAAATCTTCTTTTTACTTTTTTAGAGGTTAAATGATAAATCACTTGGAAGTATTACAGGCAAAAACAGAACATTTTTATTGCTGTCAAAGTGAGCTTTTACTTCTTTTTTTCTGAATAAAATTATCCCTCAGCGTCTATCCATAGCTGTGGTCGGTAGGAGGTGATGTTGGGGACTGCGGACGTGAATTATGCCGGGGCGTGGCACTTTAGGGCACCGTGTTATTGCTCAGCCTGGCAGCATGCTCGATGAGGACAGAACGTGGCTTGGAAATCAGGCTGAATTGACTGATTTGCACACCAGCGATGCCACTTCATGGTTGGATGTAAAATGAAGATAATTTCTGGCTTATAGGATTGTTTGAAAATTGGAGACAATATCTGTGAGGTGGCAGGGACATTGTAGGCTCAGATTAAATGGTAACTATTATTCATTCTAAAGTCATTTATAATGAAGTCTTCTTGATTCCTTGAGCTAAATAGATTTCTGAGGGACCGTATCATTTTAAAAGGTTATTCCAAGTCTGTTTGAAAATAATGATTACTGAAGCCCATTAGGTACAAGTTTTTCAAGTCGGAGCCTATTAAGAGAGAGTCTATATCAGTAGCCAAACCGTTTGGCTACTGTTATACATACTTATATGTAGCCAAACAGTGACTTTTTTGATTGAAGGATGTTTTTTAGCATAGATGTAAAGATGTATGTGACATGTTTTTAAAATTACCTAATGTTATCTTTTTGAATTAGGTTTGATAGACTAAAAACATTAAAGTGGTATTAAAGTGGGAAGATGTTGAAACCAATATACACCATTCAGTTCAAAGCAGTAACTATTTTTTTAATGCTTGCCATGTGCCATCTGTCTGATGATAAAAACACAAATAAGGTTCCATCTTGGAAATACACAATATCAGTAGGCAAAAGACAAAAAAAAAAAAAAAAAAAAAAAACAGTTTATTTGAGAGGGAAAGGTTCAAAGTGAGCTCTTCATGAGATTGTCTTGACATTTCTGGGATAGATTATTGGGGTAGGGGCTGGGGAAAGGACTGCTCTTGGGAAGTCATTCCCTTACTTTTCTTCTATATGACCTATGGTTCTACACTGTCAAGAGAAAGCACTAAACCTAATGACTTCCAAACCCTCAGCATCTTTAAAGATCTGTTATCTCTTGGACAGTATCAAGGATTAAGTAAAGTGCCTCAAGTCCTATAGGTTTCAGAGGGAATGGATCAAAAGGAGGTGAGAATGTTAACAAAGGACATGACCCATGACAGTTTGCTGGGCATATGTTCTGTCACAGGAAATTCAGGAAAAGTGCAGACAAATGTCTTAAGTAGAACCAGGAGAAGAAGGAGGTGGTTTGGCATTTTCTTGGTTGTAACTTGACCTTGGGGACGTGGTATCCTGCGATTTTATTTTACATGAATAAAGGAAGTTCTGCCATGAAGTGGCCAGAATTTTGCCCCTCAAAATATGTGCTTAAGTTCTAATCCCTCGTAATGATGAACGTGATCTTATTTGGAAATAAGGTCTTGGAATATGTGATCAAGTTAAGATGAGGTCAAAACTACTGGGTTAGGGTTGGTGTCAATCCAATGACTTGTGTCCTCATAGGAAAAGGGATATTTGGATGCGCACACAGAAGACACAGGGAGGAACACATGTGAAGGTGGAAGCAAAGATGGTGCCTCTGCAAACCAAAGAATGCCTGGCAATTACCAGAAGCTGGGAGAGAGGCATGAAACATTTTCCCTGAGAGCTTCCAGAATGAATCAGTCCAGCCAATGCCTTGATTTTGAACATCTGGCTGCCATAACTGAGGGAGAATAGATTCCTGTTGTTTAAACCACCTGGTTCATGGTAATTTGTTGCGGCAGCCCTAGAAAACTAACTCACACCACTGAATGAAAATAGATTCTTATCTGCATCGGTATCGAAATCAGTATCTATACACCAGGATGACAATGACCAGATTTTCCAGTTTTTAATAAAATACTGAATAACTGTATGCGATCATATCTTGGGTAATTAAAATGAGAATTGTCTACCTGTTTTCCTTTGATCATCATTTTTCTCTCTCTCTCGTTATTTGCTTCAGACTGTCATCAGTTTCACGATGGATTCTCTCATTGAAGCAAACTCCAAATTTTGCTTTGACTTTTTTCAAGAGATAAGCAAAAACGATAGTTCTAAAAACATCTTCTTCTGTCCTCTGAGCCTCTCAGCTGCCCTTGGCATGGTCCGCCTCGGGGCCAGAAGTGACAGTGCACATCAGATCGATCAGGTGCGGATGTGGTAACCCTGGGTCCACTCTCAAAGCCAGACCCCAATCCTTATGTGTAGAATGAATGAATGAATGAAAGCGACAAGAACAACTCCCCATTAAACTGCAGGCTCCTGAGGTGGGTCTTATACTTCCCCAGATCCAGCACTTAGCACAGGGGTTCTCTCTGAACCCAGAAGCTCTCCCCAATACAGGGGAGGGAAGTCTTGGATTAAGGTAGAGTGTGCTTAGGGTTATTCTACTTTCTTGACTTCCCTTGTTTTTGGTATATTATTCCTTTAGCAAAACAGCTTTAGAGTGTGGTTGGCATCCTCCAGGTCAGGTTTCAGGTGTTTTTTCTCCAGGTACTTGGGTGTCACTGGCCAGCAAACCTACCCTGAGCAGGGCCGGATGCATTGCTGGCCCCCTCCTGTCTGTCAGGCTCTGGTTAACGTGCATCCTCCCGTCCTCGCTCACGGATCTGAAGAGCTAGATCAGCACTGTCAGACACACGTAGGATCTGAAATACGGGTGTCATGTAAAAATCTTTAGTAGCCGTACTAGGAAAGTGAAAAGAAATAGGTGAACTAATGTTAATGAACTATTTTATTTAACTCAATACATCCAAAATATCATATCAACATATAATCAATTAAACATTTAAAGGAGATAGTTTACATTCTTTATTTTTTTCATATTGTCTTCAAAATCCAATTTGTATTTTCAAAGTGAATTCAGACTGGTCAATAGCCACACGTGGCTCAGGGACACCTGACAGCCTTTTAGTTTGGTCACAGTTGTCGTTACCTGTCCCAAGGGGGTGGGGGTGGCACTCAGCTGACTTCTCCTCCGTTCCACCTTACAACCCAAGCCAAAAGAATATCCACTTTCCTTCCAACTGTTGCTGATTGTTTTGACTCTGTGATCACTGTCATTGCCACGTCATGAAAATGTCCCCAAAGCGCTCCAGATTCTGTGCTGGTCATGTTGTCTCAAAGGCCCCCTGCCGTCATCACGCAGGTCCTCCACTTCAACGAATTTTCCCAGAGTGAAGGCAAAGCAGGGGATCCCTGTCTGAAAGGCAAAGAGCAGGAGGTGCTGGCCCACAGATCTCCGGAAGGGCAGAAGGGAGCCGCGCCGCAGGTGAGCCCCCGAAGCTCCCGCCCTCGTCCTTACAGACCGCCCCGCTGGCTGTCCTGTCAGCGCTGACGGGCCGTATCTCCTGGCTGGCACCCGCAGCTCCAGCCACAGCCGTAACCCCACAGGACCCTCATGTCCTCTCTGCTTATGCGTCTTGTTTGGTCTTGACTGTATGCTACTTTCCTAAAGAGTAGGGTCTAGTATCATCTGTTCCTGATAAAGAAACTTAGCTCAAAGCCCCATGATGCACCTGCTTTGACGGGCCTGGCTGAGGATGAAAGGCAGTTGTCTGGGGGTCACGGGGGGGGGGCGGCGGCATCAGCTCTGAGAGTCTCACTGTCTCCCCTCCACTGTTGCGGGTTTCATTTCTCACTGAAATCTGTACTGACACACACACCTTTTATTGGTTGTCTTGCACCAGGAGCAGGACTGATATTCTCCGGGTTAGAAATCCCTCAAACTGAAGAAGTTTGAGGACGGTGGAGATATTGTCTCTTTCTTGTATCTTTTGAATACAGAGATAAACAAGGTGCACTGATCTAAAACATAGGGTGCATTTCAGGGCCCCCAGATGTAGTTTTCAAGGATGATCTCCCAACGGGACCTCTTTGCTCTCTTTCTTTTCGTCTTGCTCCCCGCCAGGGTAACAGAGCCAAACGACAACTTGCTTTTAGCTGATTAAGATCACATTTTGTTTCTCCTTTTCTTAGGCGGGGTCTCCTAAGGATGACAGTGCGCGTCTCAGTTACTGCTTTGGGCAGCTTCTCTCCAGATTAGATAGAATCAAGTCTGATTACACCCTGAGCATTGCGAACAGGCTTTATGGAGAGCAGGAATTTCCAATCTGTCCGGTGAGTTGGGCAAGAACGGTGTTTCGAGCTCTCGGGGAGCGTACTGTTTAAAAATCACGCGCCATCCGGAACACAAACCTCTTTGACAGGGTACGCATGGCGGACTGGAGGGAGGCCCGGGAGCCGCCTCCTCTCCCACTCCTTCTGGGGCCCTCCTCCCACTTTTCAACTGGAACAGTGTGGGAGGTCTCTTGTGAGTGGACTAGAGTGGGTGGAAAGAGGGTCACGTGACTCATGGCCTTCAGAGCGTGCGTGGGTTTGGTAATGCTGTTCTCTCTTGAGACCTCTTTCCCAATCAAGGGGTCCGGTAGATGGACTTGGTAGCTGCCCTTCCTGTGGTCCCCTCCCCACCCACGCCTTCCAAGGCACTTCCGGAAAATCACCTTTGATGCCACCGTCAGGCCACTCCCCAGAGAAATGGCGCTCCTTTAAGAAGGGGGATAGCCTAGCAGAAGAGGACTGTATTTGAGCCAAAAGGCACATTTCTTGTCTCAGCAGCCACACTGCTCTGTCCTTCATCTGAATTGGGGCTTCCGTCTCCTCTGTCACCACTAGAAGGAGCTGTATCCATGGCACTGAACTGGAGGGGGTGTGCCCGATGACAAACCTGCGACACAGCTGGTTAGGGCTGGCCTGGTAAGGGAGGGGGTAGCCTACTTTGACCAAAATAAGTAGTTATATTACAATGCAAATGAGATTTTTGCATGCTGTTTTAAAAAACTGTCCGTGCTGAAATATAAATGCACAAAACGTACAATTCGCCTAATGAAAGTGTACAGATCAATGGTTTTGGAATACCACATTATTAATTTTTGAAAAAATTGGGTAACATCTATAACATAAAAATTTCTACTTTAGTTATTTTTAAATATACGATTCAGTGGTATCACTTACATTCACCATGTTGAGTCATTGTCATGCTCTGACACTTTTTTGTCCCCTCAGTCAGAAACTCCACAACCATTAAGTAGTTTTAATTTTTTAAAATAGAAGCAAGTCATCAAATCAGCTAAGTCATGAGGTTCCTTGATATGTATTTTGTAATGTCTCCACAAACGAAACGCCCAAACCCAAGGACACCTGGTAGGGAAGCCTTGCGCCGTTACAACTGTGAACCAGCCCATAAATAAGCATTCTGTATGCTCAGCGGCCCCTTTGACAACTGCAGAGCCTCTGGCTGCCTGGACGGGGGTAGACAGAGACTGACCGCATCCGGTGTGAATGGCGAGGCCCGTGACTGCTCGACTCCCAACTGTTAGCATGATGATAGGGTTTTGTCCCACTCTTTCCATTTATTCTAATTTTAATTTAACAGGAGTACTTAGATGGCGTGATTCAATTTTATCACACAACCATTGAAAGTGTTGACTTCCGGAAAGACACTGAGAAGTCCAGACAAGAGATTAACTTCTGGGTGGAGTCACAGTCCCAAGGTAAGAAAGACCAAACACGCTGCAGCTGGCCTGCCTTGCCATCTCGAAGCACACGGGCCAGCCTGGCTTTCGGATAGCTCGTCTGTCAGGGACCACCTGCTCCCGCGTGTGCACTGGGTCCAATGCTTCTTGTGCACGTTTCAAACAGTTAAAATGCTTAGGTACGACAGTTACTTACTGTCACTCTGTGCTCCACCGTATAGGTGACATGCCTTTCAGCCAAGTGCGATGCCCAGCAGGAGGTTTACTATTTCCATTTCTTTTAAAGGGTCAGTAAAGAGACTGTGAAGAGAACGTAGTTATTCAGAGGAACAGGGAAATAATAAAAGCCTTTTTTTTAAATCAACTTTTCACTAGAAATACAGGTGTTCTGAGTCAAGGGGGTTTAACTGTAACGATGAGTGGTGGCGAACATTAGAGTTCAGCATAAATGCAATTATTTTTAAATATGAAGCTCCCCTTCCAGCTTTAGCTAGATTCCAGCAAAATGGAAGTCTCTAAATGGACTGTGTGAACACAAGGCTCCCAAAGCAGCAGCGCCCTCCACCGAGCAGGCACATGTCACAATTAAATACAGTCAGCCCCCCTGCTGTGCTTGCTTGCAGCCCAGTTCATCAAATACACTTGCCTGGCAACTAAAATCCTCAGCCAAGACCCCTCTGAATGTTGACCTTCATCCACCCCTCTACTCTTTATTGTCCTCTTTCTAATGTTCTCTTCAATGTAACTCCCTAACTCGGCTGTTCCCCAAAACACATAAACTGTGCTACATTGGAATAGTATCAGTCTGCGTGTGTTGCCTATCCCTTGCCCCTGAGCTTAGCTTGGTGGCGTGTGGGGTTCTTCAGTCCTGGGATGTTTGCATTAAAAACAATGCAGAAACTGCCGGGAACTGGGGCTGACAGCCACTGAATGGGCCCAATGACCTTGGCGTTGATGAGCTTTCTGGTTCCTGGGAGCCACATCTGTGAAATGATGGAGTGAGATGCCTCATTCCCATAACATTCCATAATTTGTATTTTCTTTAGCAAATTGAACCCACAAGTTCATGTTCTAGATAGTTCCTTCTCGTAGGTTCTATTTCTTGTTTCAGTATTTCTCATGCTGCCAATGCTTTCACTAAAGTTTAGTGTTTCCTTTTGGTGGTATTGATCACTCCTGTTTCTGAACCACTGAACATTCACTTGCCCGTAGAATAAAAAACTCATCTTTTTTCAAGATATCCACTGGTATTGGAATTTGTCATATTAGAAATACTTGTGACCCCATTTCTTGGGCTTACAGTAACTAACATACTACAAAAGTAACTTAGCACATTTAAAAGCTAGTCTTTAAATGAGATGTAGGGAGTTTCAAATCTACAATAGCTGTTTCAGTGCCTTATATTTACTTATAATTAATATATAAAGTCACATTGCCTTAGTGAGAACCCGCACAAGTATAAACGCTTTCAGAATTGATTTACATGATGAACTAAGAACAAAAGAAAGCCAGAGAAAGTTTAAGGACAGGGAGCAGGTCTTCTAGAAGACGCCTCTGATGTAGGGGCCAATGGCAGGGTGAGAGCATCATTGCCGAAGCCCCGGAGGGAGGCGCTGGTGGCTTGGACCACATGGTGGCCCCGGCGATGGTGAGAGGTGGATGGATGTGGGAGATATTAAGAGGTAGACCGGAAGGACTCTACCAAATACTTGGATAGATGATGGATTGTTTAATAACATCTGAGAGTCAACAGGAATGACCCAGAGGACACTTTAACATGAAATCTTAAATTCTTTAAAATGAAAAGCAGTCCTGATCAGTGTGGCTAAGTTGGTGTTTGGTTGGGCATTGTCCCATAAAGTGAAAGGTCACTGGTTCAATTCCTGGTCAGGGCACATGCCTGGGTTACAGGTTTGGTCGCCAGCTGGGGCATGTACGAGAGGCAACCAATCAATGTTTCTCTCTCACATTGATGTTTCTCTCTCTCTCTCTTTCTCTCTTCCTCTCTCTCTCTATAAAAATAAAAACAAAATAAAATCTAAAATAAAAAGCAGAGTCTAGGAGCCCAAATAAAGAAATCACCTTTCTGACATGCCATTCATGTCTCCTTATGACAGATGTCAAATATTTTAATGTGCTTTTTAAGCAAAGATTTTCCTACATGGGAATATGCGCTATCTCCTGTCTTCCCCACACTGGCTTAGGGCTGGGCTGCTCCTGCCTGGCCTTTCCTTGGGGGAGACACCCAAACTCCAAAATTATTTCTCCTCACTTCTTCCGCATGCCACAAAAACTCCCACATCCTCAGGGTTCCACTCCGTTGCTGAGAAGAAGGCCAGCTCACTAAAAAACTTTATATTAAGGTATGAATATCTAGTTTCTTCTTAGTCAACTCTCTCAGAGTAGATGGTGACACAAAAAAAGTAAGGTATTATGAGATATAAGTGGAAATCTTCTTGAGGTGGAAGGGTCTCCTCATCCTAAAGCCTGGGCATGCATTCAGGTAACGATATGGGTGATTTGGTGTTTTGAGGCAGAAAAGGATGCGTACTGAAAATGAACTATTGCCTGATAGCACAGGCTCCTCCCATCTGCCTTAGGGCTGTGTTAGGTGCAGAAGGAGCCCCAGAGCTGAGAAAAGGGTGGGAAGGAAGGTCCTGGGACTGATCTCAGCCATCTTTCTTGATTTTTTTGCTGTGTGGCCTCTTCTGTCATGCGCTGTAGTCTCTTCTCCTATAGAGAAGGGATATACTATCTACCTCTCTTGGATGACGTCGGATGGAATGAAAGAGGGCATGGGAAAGTCCTTATAAAATAGGTCTTATATCATTGTCTCATATACTTACATACATTTTTTGTTTATATGCAAGCATATGTATGCTGCTGTGATGAGTGCATGAGACAGACAGTTTACAGAATAGCCCTTTTTCTCCAGGACATTATAATGTAATCAGGTGGCAGGATCTCTCCTTTGAAGGATAAATCAGGGCATATGATGTCTGATGCCAAGTTCCACTCACAGTGATAGCAAGTCCCTCAGTGCTGGGGCTCTTAATTGGATTTTCTGCCCCCCCCCCCCGCCCCCCCCCAGCTCCCAATCTTACCTCCTCTCATATCCCACCCAGGACTCTGAGGGGTTTAATTTTCTTGGGTTAGTTCTTGAATGAGACACTCTAGCTCTGGGGATGTTAAACTTCATTAAAAAAAAAAAATCTGTCTATGTGAATACTTTTGGTGCAATTCCTATTCAAGACATTCTCTGGAAAAAAAAAATTTTTAGGTAAAATCAAGGACCTCTTCAGCAAGGACACCATTAACAACTCCACTGTGCTCGTGCTGGTGAACGCAGTGTACTTCAAGGCCAAGTGGGAGAAATACTTTGAATGTGAAAACACAGTTGACGCACCTTTCTCTCTGAATGAGGTACTATATTTAGAGCATGTGGCTTTCTAAGGGGTCCGCTCGCAGTTTCCACTGAGAACTATTTGCTGTATGTGCGTGCAAATCTAAAATGCAGGCCTCTGGGCTACAGCTTACGTTTATAACAAGTACACTTCTGCTATTTAGAAAAATCAGTGTCTGAACTTTAGTGAGCATTTTCATGCCAGGCATTGCACTCAGCATTTTTGGTTTGTTATTTCATTTGGTCCCTAAAATCACATTATGAAAGTGGGTGTTATTATTATTATTCTCACGTAGGGCTGAGAGGGGAAGAAATGCAAAGGTTAAGTTCCCTAGCCAAATCCCTGCATTGGGATTCACATCTGTCTCGCCCTGGAAAACCCCTGTTGTCAGCCACCGGGCTGAATAGGAAGAAAGGGAAGCATAGGCCCCAGCACAGCACCTGCCAGCTGTGTCGCCCTCAAGGGCTTCACATCCTCATCTGTGAGGTTATTAGGAGGTTGAAGGGGTCTGGGCCTCGCCCCTTTCCTCTGATGGAAGTCCATGGAACAGGTGTTGTCATTGATTATGTAGGTGATCATCATTAAAGCAAGGGTCCCACTGGCCCTGCCTTGGGGTGACTCAGTCCAGCGGGGACGGGAGTCGTGAGAGGCCCCGAGGCTGGGGAGGTTGAGGCATGAAAGAGAGAAAGAGAGAGTTGCAGGGCTCGCTTCTGGCAGCTGGGCTGTGGGCAGGTGCCTGGAGAGATAATCTACCAGCAAATGGTTTGAGGGGCTGAAGAACCCATTAAAACCACAGGAAGTGGAAGGGGTTGGCAAAGTAAGGGCCAGCTGACCAGTGGGTACATGACTCATAGGCTGAATCACTGGTGTGGCTCAGAATATCTGGTGAAGGCTCCACTCATCTTAATGGGCCCCTGTTTTCAGGGCAGTTGGGGACCCTGTGTGTTTGTGAGCTTCTCATGGCGCTCCTGTGACTTTCTTCCTTGTTCACTGCAGAATGAAAAGAAGATGGTGAAGATGATGAACCAAGAGGGTATGTTTAGAGTGGGCTTCATAGAGGAGGTGAGGGCACAGATCCTTGAAATGCAGTACATCCAGGGCAAGCTGAGCATGTTCGTCCTCCTGCCGTCTAGCTCTTCGGACAACCTGGAGGGCCTGCAGGAGGTAACCCTTCCTTCTCCTGTCTCTCCAAAACATCTCGTTACAGGTCTTCGGAGGGACCACCACCTACCCTCTACCCTCCTGAGTCAGGGTGGTGCCGAGCAGTCAGAGCCAAGCAAAGAATATATCAGAATCTCAATTCAGTGACCTATTTACTCGTTTGTTTAGTGATGAACAAAGGCCAAACATGGACGCCAGGGCTTTCTGCTCTAATCTCACTGCTCTCTGTTATTGAATAGTTTCCATATCCCCGAATCTGGATGGGGAGTAACTGGAGAATCGCTACAGATAAAAGAGCTTTTCCTTTTCCTTCAGCATCCTGACTGCCAGCCTCTTATGCAGGCTGTTTTGCTGTAGCTCAGTTAAAGGCTCTGTGGCTGAAGCCCGGTGCGGGGTGCTTGCGCCCTGACAGCAGTGGCGGTTCTGATACTGGAATAGATTGCTCGGGCTGCAGGAATTAATAAAGGCTGCGGAAGCTCAGCCGCATGGATGCTCAGTCCTGTGGGGGGAAGAGAGAGAGAGAGACAGAGGGAAGGAGAAAGTGAGAGAGGAACGCTGGATAGTAAATACTATAATAACCATTATCCAAATTTATTATGTGCCAGCACTATGTTAAAGACTTGAACTACATTATTTTGTTTAATCCTTGAAGAGCCTAATGGTATTATCTCCGTTTTCTGGAAGAGATTGAACTCCCAATGTCCGGGCTTGCTCATGCTCCCCCAGCCTAACCAGCTGAGCTTTGCTCGCCTTTGAACCTTAGTCTGTCAGACCCCAAAGAACCCCGGAACGCCAATTGTCCTGCCACTCCTAAAGAGAAAAGAGGTCCACCTGGAGGAGTTCTAAGTGCAGCCAGAGTATTTCGAGGTGCAAGGAAAGAACGCGAAGTTTGTCACCGACTGCGGAAGTGCACTCGAGCCTGGGTAACTGGGGCTTCCTTTGCGGGCTCATAAGCTGACCTTCGACATTCTTTTATTTCTCTTGCAGCTTGAAAGGAATATCACCTATGAAAAAATAGTGGCCTGGAGCAGTTCAGAAAATATGACAGAAAAAAGAGTGGCCGTCGCCTTTCCCCAGTTCACCCTGGAAGACAGCTATGACCTCAATTCCATCCTCCAAGACATGGGCATCACGGATATCTTCGATGAAAAGAAGGCCGATCTCACCGGAATCTCTCCAAGCCCCAGTCTGTACCTGTCCAAGGTGGTCCATAAAACCTTTGTGGAGGTGGATGAAAATGGCACCCAGGCCGCCGGTGCCAGCGGGGCCACCGGCAGTGTGATGTCTGCGCCATCCTGGGAGACCTTTAACGCCGATCACCCATTTCTCTTTTTCATCAGACACAACAAAACCAAAACCATTCTCTTCTATGGCAGGATCTGCTCTCCTTGAAAGGAGCACACTGTGTAGTACTGGCTGGAAGAACCTGGCAGTGAAATCGGGCCCTGGCCTGATGTGGGCTTTTGTACTTTCGCTACTATCTAAAGCAGGTGGAATGTCAGCACAGTGCGGGGCTCCCTTCCTCCAGCCACTGGCCTGCGCGTGTCCCGCTCCTCTTCTCGCCCTGTAGCTGATCTTCATCTAAGTCTTTTAGTATCGAAGTGCCCTTGCTCCCTCCCTTGCCTCTCAGCACCCTGAGCTTTCATGCATATACAAAAAATTCACCCTCTGTGACCTGAAGGTCAACGTCGCTAAGAATGATACTGACTTTAAGTTACCTCCTTATGAGGGAATCCTGAAAGTTCAGATCGTTAGGCCTCCTCTGGGGGATGGCAAACTCAGAATCCACTTTGACATGGTGGCAAGAGAAAGTGTTTACACGGAATGTGCTTTGGAAAGTCAGCTCTGTTTCTACGGCAGTTAAAATTATGGTGTCTCGCTGGGCAGGATGTGTCTTCCTCTTCTGTCTTCTATTTCCTGAAAGATGCCCTGTAAGGGGCTTCTCCCTTGGGAGGAAGCAGGGCTTGGGGGGTGGATTTCAGCGAGAGCTCAAAGGTGTAAAACTGCACCAGCCAGCATCCATTTTGCACAGAGAATTTGTCCTGTGAATTTGGCCATGTTTGGGTTTGTATATTCATCCACCCCCAGAGTCAGGTCATACATGGAGAAAAGCATAGTCACCATCCAGCAGAGCTACACTAGATTAGGAGCTCTTGACTCTTTGATCTTTCCACACCAGCAAGACTGACACTTCAATAAAGCAGGCGGAGGCAGGAGAGCATGCACATCAGGAGGCTGCTGTAACTGCAGGAAAACCAAATAGAGCATAAAATCCGGGGAGAGAGCTCCTCCACGTCTAGCTCAAAGTTTCCTCCATCCAGCAATGTTGCAGGACAAGCACAGCAAAGGAGATTTCAAAACAGTTGATTCATTTATGCTGATAGCCAACTCTTGAATTCCCAGGCTCTGGACGTTCTGTTTTATTTCAACCCAAGCCCTCCCTATGATTCCGTGCATTATCTAATGCGTATCTCCCCTTCAAACTCCTCCCCTGTTTTTCCTGAAGCTGCCCAAAACACGTGTTGTTTCATCCCGATGCTGTTTACTTGTCTTTATCACCGTGTCTGTAACCTGTGGCGCAGGTCCTGTGCCTGGGGTAACAGGAGGAGGGAGTGTGTAGTTGTCTTGGTGGAGTCCTTTGTTCCACAGTTGAATGTCAACTTCATCTATGTCACTCACATTGTATTCTTGTTTTCCCCAAGCCACTGTCTTAGTCTGTTCTTTCACTCAATAAACATGACACAAAACTTACCCCACATATGCACATCTTTCGTCAATGTATTCTCTGTACTTAACATTTAATTTAAATACTCTCATATTCTAATACACTCTTTCCCTTCTAAATAATGTTACCCATAGCATACATCAAACAATGTTTTAGCTAGAGATGGGTGAGAAGGATTTAAGAAGCAATCAAATAAATGCACAGCAGTGGGGCTGATAGAAACCACAGACCTTCTGTTGACACATAAGTTGTAAATATATCAATCCAGATTCAAGGTTAAATAAATGGGTACAAGCTAAAGGGTTATGGAAAAAATGGTGTCAAACAAGGAAAGGACACATCATGGTACAGACAAAAAATAAAACTTCAGGAAAAGATTTATGGCAAGAATTAGAAGATCAATAGGATTAAAGAAGGGAAAAAAGAAGGCAGGGCAGCTATGAAATTGGAAGGGAACTCCAGGAACATAAACTGTGATAAGATGCTAGAGAGTAGAAAACAGTATAAGAAGACTGCTAGGAAACTAAAAATGCAACAGCAGAATTTAAATAGATTTTAGAGGCAATAAAGAAACAAAACTGATGCACTGGGAAATTTAGCCAGTGATTAACAGGGTGTGGTTGCGTATCTTTCTTAGAATGTACAGGAAATAATAGGAGGGCTCTTGGCAGATGCAATGAGAGAACAGAAAGTCCACCCAAGAATTACGGTGTTTCTGAGAAAAGAAGTAGGTTAATTGGCATGAAATCAATAACCGAAGATAAAAGTGAAAAAACTTTCTTAACTTGATTAGTCACCTGGTCACGCAGATTTCCAAGAAAAATAAGCCAAAATGGACATCCTAAAAATCTTTAAAAATAAAAAATGGTTGAAAAAACAATTCTATTAGCATTTGAACAATTCCACTACCTAGCACCTTGCTATAAAAATCATAGGAACTGGAATTAAATTCTTGTTGCTTTGAGCAGAATCCAATGCAGTCAAAGATTCCAAAAAATTAGTATTAAATGTTCCATCAGTGAAAATATGATTTCAATTGACAACCAAAAGAAGATGAGAAATTCTTAATTTAAATTCTAGTGATGTCACAAAATTGTTGGCAGCACTGACTCTTCTCTTTAGCACTGATTTTTTTCTTTTTTTTACGTTGGGTCCAGGCATGGGGTGAGTTTCAGTATTAAGAATAAGATTGCAGCTTTGAAATCTCTGAATGGGAATACAATACCTAATATTTATTGCATACTTATTGTGAACTGGTATTGATCCAAGACCTTGGTATGCATCAGCCCATTTAATTCTCTCAGTCATTCTGAGAGGTATGTTATTATTAGCCAGTTTAACAGATGAAAAAACCGAGGGGCACAGAGAGATGAAGACATTTGTGTAAGATCTCTCAGGGAGCAAATGGTTGAATAAGGATTCGAACTAGGCTGTTTGGCTAGATACTATACAGTGGGTTACTAACCATGGCTCTATCTATCCTTCCAAGTAGAAATAAAGAGTACAAGAAGTGATTCATATCTATTTCTTTATTTTGCACCTGTGAACCTTGCGGGCCAAGGGTCCATCAAGATAACATTTTAGGTGGCCAATAGAGTTGAGAGTGCAGGGGATCTTTAAGTTTGGGGGCGGAAAATTCAGGAAGCAAGAGGAGCTATGAGGCAGGTACCCATTGTGGGGACAGGTTGGGGCAGCGCTTCAGTGGGAGTAACTAGATCAGTATGGTGTGCGTGTTCCTCTCCCTGCCTGATGCCAGGTGACAGTGACAGTGGTCTTTGTCCCCAGGCAGGAGCAGTAGGTGTGCCTGTTTCAGTTGCAGAGGCCTAGTAGTGCCCCAGGTGACTGTCATTATCAAAGAGGAGGAGGCAATTCCCACTTAGTGGTTATAAGCCACCGGTACCCTTGCCTGGAAGCACAGTGGCTCCTCCCACTCCTAAATTGCTCAGGCGGGCGGTGGTAACCACAGAACAGCATTCAGAGACAGTCTAAGGAGGAACCTCAAAGACAGAGATAAGAGTATAACCTAGACTACCAAGTGTTTGAAGGAAACACTTGGAAGAAAGGAATGAGCCTCAACAGAGTTAATAGGTCAAATGAGAGACATTAAAACATACAATAAAAATAGGGAATTATTAAATATTTATTTAGAGTTCTTGGAAATAATAAATTGTTACAAAAAGTTGGTAAGTTGACTGAGTAGCAGAATGAACACAGCAGAAAAGTCAGCCGGAAGACTGAATCATGGAATTCTACAAAACACAGAAAAAAAGATAAAGTACTTAAAAATGTTAAGAGCCATGCCGGGTAGTTTAAGACATTCCAACATTTATCAAGGAAGATTTCAGGAAGAGAGTTCTGGGGGTGGGGGGAGGAAATACTCAAAGATATAAGAAAAGAAAAATGTACAGAATTGAAAAAAGTCATGAAAATTGAGAGGGCTCATTAAAAATCCATACTTCCACAGTGTGACAAATTACAGATCCAGGAAAAAAGGAAGTATTCTGAATGCCTTGTGATGGAAAGAGATAGGCTTTATACAATGGGACGAGAACCAGGTTGGGTTTAGGCTTCTCTGTAATCCGACAAGAAGACAGAGCAGTATCTGCAATTCTGAGAGGAAAAAACTATGAAACTGAAGCGTGTATCCATACACACGATCACTCAAGTGTGATGGCAGTAATAGTACCTAATAGTAACCTTTACTATTGCTGTTAACACGTTTGCATGTTTCGTGTCACTCGGCAGTTCCCTGAGAGTGGCAGTTGTGTGCGTGGACTGGGGCAGCCTCTGGATGCCCAGCTGACTCAGCACGGTTGGGGGGGGGCAGGAAGCGCCGCCTTTCCCCTCCGCTCTTCAGTGACTCTTTTCCCAAAACCCAGTGTGCACGTGGGTGCAGGAGGGTGTTCCGGCCTCTCCTTTACCCAAACCACCCTTAGTCACTTAATGACAGCCCAAACCACAGTTAGTCACTTAATGACAGCCCAAACCACACTTAGTCATTTAATGACACGTCTTGCCATCTGACAGAAACTCTTCCTCCATCTCCAACAGAGTTTTACCTGATCTAGGCTCTCTGCTATTTCATATAAATTTGGAATCAGCTGGTCCATTTTTTGGAAAACAAAATAAAACTTCCTGGGATTTCATTAAAATTATGGTGATCAATTTTGAGAGGACCGATGTCTTTACAATATTGAGTCTTCCAAACCGCAAATAAAATATCTCTCTTCATGTGCTCAGGTCTTCTTAATTTCTCCCTTTTATGTTTAATCTTTTTCTAGGTAGGCACTTGCACATCTTTCATTTTTAATAGGCCTGTGATGCTCTTTGATACTTTTTAAAATCATATATTTAAAAAAATTTCCATTTCCTAAATGTATGTTGCTAGTACATAAAAAATATTTGATTTTTTCATATTTACCTTGTAATCATCAATCTTGGTAAGCTCACTTTTTAATTCTCATAATGTGTGTGTCAATTCCTTTGTGAATGATAATTTTATTTTTTTTCATTTTTAGTCTTGAAACTTTTAACTAATTAATTAATGAGTTAATTAATCAACTGTCTTATTTACTGCACTTAACTCAGGTCTCTGGTTGAGTCTGAACGGAGGCAGTGATCATGGGCATGCTCGTTTTGTTTTTTCAGCACAAAGAGAAGTCTCTCC